GGGGCGGAGGGGAGGTTGGTAGCAAAGAGCCCAGAGACTACGCTAGAAAGTTCTTATGAGATTTGCATTAATTTTCAGTCATAATGTGATCAGTGTTACGCGGATGGCAGACGTTACATTGAAAAGGCATTCTTTTCTACCGACCCCTATTTTTTTTTAATCTTTTTTTTCCCCCCCTTTATTCTTATTACCCACCTCGGCCACCCTCTGTGCGATCTTTTGATCCGTGGAAATCCCATCCGATTTCCCTTGCTTAACTTCCGATCCAGTAGTATTCATCGGCATGCGTTTCGAACGAAGGAATGCGGAATGTATATTGAAAATTATTTTTTTTTTAATTCGAAAAAAAAAATATGCCCTACGTTTTCACTGTCTGCCCGTGCGAAGTAGGGGTTTTGAATAATTTCGAAGAGTTAGGCCAATATTATTTTTCCGTCTGTCCTGAGCGACGAGCAAGGATAGATCGTAGAAAGTCGTTAATAATAAATCACCCGGTATGTACAGTAGAGAGTGGCATAGGGTATAGTTAGGTAAGATAGAAGTGTTCCTTCACGGGGCCCAAACCAGTCCTGCCGCCGCCCATCCGTGACCCCAGACCCCGTCATCCGGTCGCTCGCTGAACCTCTTCTTCGACTCGACTTCTTCCACTTCCTCGTACACTCTCTTTCCAAGAGTCCAATGCCGAACTGGCTCTTCTGCTACAGTGCCTGGACCCAAGCTCTCGAGCGTGTATTCACCCGGCCCGGGAAGGCTGTAGGTAGAGCCCGTGAGCAGTGCGCGTAGAGATAGTCGAGATACCTATATTCGTTCCGGTTCATCTGACGAAGTGGAAGCCACGCTAGGTGGGTACGGGCGTGGTCCGGATGAGTTCGGGGATCGCGCGGGACTGGAAAACAGGCGGCAACTACCCTTAGCCCTGTACAGTTATACGGGCGTGGGTTGAAACGAGCGGAACGGCTGACGGCAGCGGGGCTCCTACTACTGACAAGGAGTAGCAGCCGGCTTATAGTCGGACGAGCGTTATAAATGGCCAGACCAAGGGAAAACGCGAAATATTCGCGAATGCGATTATACCATTTTTGTTTCTCACCGCACACCCGGTATGTCGCACAATTTCGCAGACTCGATCCTGGCTGCGCCCATCCTGCCAAAATTCACGAGTGCCCGGAGTAACGTGACGCAGGGTAGGAAACAAGGGTGACCCACGAGAAACAGGGGCGAAGACGGTGAAACCAAAAAAAAGGGTTGGGATCTATCGTCCGTCGCTGCTCGAAACGTTAGCCTTCCTAGTAAATGGAACAGCGGGAATTGGGTGCGCCGAACCCAGGGGTCAAAGTTGAAAAGGTCTCTCGTGGTGCCGTTGGACGTAAAATGGGCGTTCCGTGTCGTATCCGCAGCATCCGCCGGGTGATATCTAGCTCCTCCGGTTTCTTAAGGTCCTCCAGGCGATGAGTTCACTTCCGATGAAGATAAATCCCTGACGGACGTGACGTCAGCTCGTAACGAGAAGCCAATTGACGAGGACTCAAGCTTTTCTCTATTCTGTTCTTAAATTTTTTTTTTCTTTTTTTTTTCTTTTTTTTTCAAGCGCTTTTATCCGCTTCGCCCTAGACTGTATTTCTTGTTGTAAAATATTTCAATTTTTTTTTTCTCTTTTATTTTACTTTTCAAAATTTGCCTCTAATTATTTAATCCGTTGAATTCCCCCCACCCCAGCCAAATATCGTTCCGCCGCGACGACGACGAGTCACGAAAGTTCGTTTGAAAATAGTTTTACAGCTCTCGTGCAAAGCTCTTTGTTTACAGAGAGCGTCCGAGATAAATTCGGTGCATCTAAATGCGTGCGCTTTAAAATTAAACGCAAGGTCAACGCATCTTTCCCAACTTGGCGGGGGTGTCGTTGCCCTTCTACGCGTCAAAGACCATTAACATATTCCGAGGTAGGAATCGAAATTGAAAATAAAAAATACCATTTCGACGATTTCCCGTACGATGACGATTGGACGTTAGACAGTAGCGAATAGCTTTGAATTTCTAATGAAAAATTATTTGACCTAATCAACCGAATATCGCAAACCGTGCATTCACTAGGCACTCGGTACCTGCAATTAATCAGCCCGTTACATTAATCTAACTAAGCAATTTATCTGGCGGGTTCCCAAGTGACAGGCGTAACGGCGTGACGTAACCGTGCCGACGGTTCGATCAAACGAAACGCACTGCTCCACCAGTGGGTTGACGTGGCCTGGCCGTTTAGATGTTTCCCCTTTATCTCGAATATTTCTACGGGACTTCGGAGACCGGCCTATTGACCCGCCACGGATCACGAATCACGGCACACGTAATAATAATAAAATATATTAATTTTGGATGAAAAAAAAAAAGTAATTTATAAAAAAGTTTTGTACGTCAATGATCTCTCAGGCATCAGGAGCGGCTCCGTGACTTTAATAGAAAATCTCCAGACCCGAGCAGGATTACCCTGGTGATATTACCGGCTTTATTACCGGACAGAAGTCGAGCTCTGAATACCGTGACTCACGCCAGCCTCATCTTCCACTGATGTTTCTCCTCTTATTGCACTAAATCCACCCCTAGCTGGCATTCTCCCTTGCGCTCTATGCCGATACTGTACACATGCACAGACTGTACCCCCTGTGCTCCCTTGCCCTTTCAGTTCTCTGATTGCTGTTTCACTTGGTTGCTTTCACTCTGTCTCCCTCTCTCGCACTCCCACCGCACTACCGAGGCTTTCCTCTGTCTCCCTCTCTCACGTATCTACCACCCCGGCACAGCACGGGGTGCGAACTGAATAGGGAACAGATTACCAAGCCCCGTTTTCCCTTCGGGCTCCACGTGCAATTCGGTTTTGGGGAGCGTCGAATGCTCCGCTGGATGTTTCGCGACAAACGAGAGATAATCTCTGGTGAATGTCGCGCGACGAGAGGAGAAGGGCCCCTTATATTTTTACACGTTCGTCCCTCGCGAACGCGGCCAAACTTCGTGCGAAGGACAGTACCAGAAATAGGATAGACTGTAGGCGAATTTCTTGATCGTCATTGTGCCGAATATCGGGTTACCTGGGTCTCTTCGAAATCCTCGAATCCTTCCTTCCCTTGGACCATCCAAACGCGTACGTGATGAATCTACCTTGTTTCAGGACTGAAGTATCTTCACTCGGCCAGAATCCTGCACAGGGACATCAAGCCTGGAAATCTTCTCGTGAACAGCAACTGCGTCCTGAAGGTATAAAAAGTTTGTTGTTTTAAAAAAAAAAAAAAAAAAAAAAAAAAACTCGAAAATCTACCCTCGCCGGGTCAAACGAAGGGTTAATTTACAAAGTTACGTCAAACAATTCGTATCCTTGCAGATCTGTGATTTTGGCTTGGCCAGGGTGGAAGAACCGGACAAGAACAAACACATGACGCAGGAAGTGGTGACGCAATATTATCGGGCGCCAGAAATCCTCATGGGAGCGAGACACTACTCGGCAGCGGTGGACGTCTGGAGCGTGGGCTGCATCTTCGGGGAGCTTCTTCGTAGGCGAATCCTCTTTCAAGCACAAAGTCCAGTTCAGCAGGTGAGACCCTGACAAGAAGGGATACGTTAGAGCCTTGGTTAATGAAATCATCAAACTAACTCTGTTGTTTGTCCCATTCTCTCGAAAGCTTGAGCTCATCACGGAACTCCTAGGAACGCCGACCCTGGAAGACATGAGGTACGCCTGCGAGGGTGCACGGTCACACATGCTGAGACGCGCCCCTAAGCCGCCAGCGTTAACGTCCCTCTACACCCTGAGCAGTCAGGCAACGCACGAGGCAGTTCATCTGCTCTGTCAGATGCTGGTGTTTGATCCTGTACGTAATACTCTTATTCGTCCGTCTGACAATTCATTGAGCCAACCAGAGAGATCTATGAGATCTATATTATTAAAATCCAACCCCCTTAGGATCATTCGAAATTCCCCTCATAGAACCCTTATTCAATGTATTCCAGGACAAGAGGATCACTGTCGTGGACGCCCTGGCTCATCCGTATCTCGACGAAGGTAGACTACGTTATCACTCCTGCATGTGCACCTGCTGCTACACAACGAACGCAGGCATGAGGCAGTACACGACCGACTTCGAGCCAGCAACGCCGCATCCCTTCAACGATCACTGGGAACGAAAGCTAACGAGCGTACAGCAGGTCAAAGGTGAGAGCCCGTATAGTCCAGAGGACGATCCGTGGTTGCAACGTTAAATATTAGCTTGAAAAAAATAAATGTCAACCTGCTCTATGCGACACGCATTAACTCTCTTTCTCTTTACCTTGTTTCAGAGGAAATGCACAAATTTATAGCGGAACAGCTGAACACGTCGCGCGTGCCCCTCTGCATAAATCCGCAGTCCGCGGCTTTCAAGAGTTTCGCAAGGTAAGCCCCCTTTGATGGGAGTGCGAAATACGTCGCCAGGCACACCTACCAACCAACCAACCAAAACCAACCAAACCAACCAACCACAAAACAACCAAACGCCAACCAACCAAAACCCTGAATATCCGCCGTATATATATATATTATATATACCTGCACTAACGTGCACTTCTATATATGGTTTATATATGACATATACGATGCGAGCGAGTCTCGCGCGACAGACATGCAATTTGGGTCCTGCCACTTTTTCCTGATAAAAAAAAAATCTACGGTATATATACTTTACAAAATATATATACGAAAGCAAGCGAACTGCCGTCGTCGCACGATAGTTGGCCATTGTCAGCTATCGGAAAAACCTCTTTCATCGGGCAGCACGAGCATAACAGGGCTGCGTGTCGGCTGGAGCAAAGGGGAGAGGAAGTGTATGCGAAAAATGGAGAATAGAGGGAAAACGATGGGAACAAGAGGAATGACAATGGAATAATATTTTACGATGAAAATGACTTCCCTTGAACGATGCCCAGTACGCATATCAATAGTATACTACCGTATGCGATTCATTCATAACGATGATAACTAATGTATACTCAAGATCCAACAATGCAAGATCTATCCAACCTCAACAATAACCTCCATCCACCCCACAAGCCACGCTATAAGACCTTGTCTGTGTATATACCTGTCATACAACCCCAATCTTGTTACCTCTACCCTACTTCTCTCGATTGAGAATCCGTGATCGATTCCATGATTGTGCAATGCCCATAAACAAAAACAATTCATGATCCTTGTGATATGTGATACTTGTACTGATCTTTATCGTCTTGCTTACTGCCGTCAAGTTAGAGCAAGCCACCTGCCAACCCAGCACCGTGCGCCGCGTATACGTACACATTACCACTACCGAATCAGCTATCTACCACTGTCAGCTACCACTATCGACTACTACTATCATCTACTACTACTACTACTACCACTACTACTACTACTACTACCAATCGTTACGTCTCCTCCTGAACGAATGAATGACCGAGAAATCAGCTATAGTCGGAACAACCTCGCTCGCAGAGGTACCTACCTAAACTTACCTTACGTTTTTTGTTTTTTTTTCTTTATATTAGCTTATCTTTTTATTCATTACAGAGCTCAGTCGAGTGTCACGTGTAATACAGGGTGGCGCTACGCCTCGTGACCCGTTAAAATCCCCGATTTTTGTCTAGTGTCGAACGATGTAATTGACAGTGGCTAATAATCACTTACCAGTAAGGTCTTCCATTTGGGATTGCATTAGGGACCTTTTTTTCTTAAAGGACTTTTTTCTTTTAGTCAGAATTGGACGTGGACAGTTGTTTGATTCGGTAGAGAAGAAAGGTTTAGTTTTTAATGTTTTTGGACAGACGGCGAACTGTCAGGTAAATTTCGAATAACTGTAAAGGAGCTGCTCTTTGTGCGATTATTGTGTTAATTAGGGCAATTAAAAAATTTTTATAATTACGTGCAAAGACTATGGTGATGTTTAGTTCATCGTAATCGTTCTTTGAATTTGAAAAAAAAAAACAAAAAAAAACGTGGCTTTTAACCGGTCACCCCGGTCACAGATCACCCTGTGCGGACACGAGAATTACTCGTTAATGTTGTATAATAATTACATGTAAATATCAGAGTGCTTAATTAAAGCTTAATTAACACTGTGAAGGTACTATTTGTGAAGGCCTGATCGACCATGCAGCCTTCAGTCATTATTATTATTATATTCGCCGCAGTGTATACCGAGAAAATGGTATGTGAAAAAAGTTCTAAGGAGGATCAAGTTGTACTTGACGAAAGTACCCGTTTAGCAAGATCAACCCCCCCGCCCCCCCCCTACTTTTGAAGAACCCATATTCATACAATGGACCCCAAAGATCCATTCGTACACTTCCCATAGATCCCAGATAGGATATAATACTGACCGTCACAACCCTTAACCCCATAACCCACTCCTATCCCGTAGTTAGATCACTTTTACCTATGTGTATTCGCGTACGAAAAATTGCCTTGCCAAGTAAACTGTCCATTTCGGTTGAGAAAAAAAAAAAAAAAAAAAAGATCTCAGATAATTGGAAAAATTTGTCAAAATTCAGTTGAACGTTAAGAGAAACGACATAGAATACAATAAAAAAGAGTGCCGTTATCTAGTTAAAGGGGGAAAAAATAAAATGCTGAAAAAGAAAACTAAAATGCGGTTCCGATTTATCATTAAAAAAAAAAAAGACAGACAAGATATCAAGCAATCCTTACTTGTGAATTACGACCGAAAGAAGCCTGTAAAGTCTGTAAATTAACTAGGCGATTCGCTTTATCAGCTAGTCGAGCCAGATTACATGTCTTTTCGTATTTTCCTCTCTTTGGCATCCCAATTTTGTTTCATTGACTTATCTTGTTTCTCATGTACCACCTTATCCCTACGTATTCGCAACTAAAGTTCGATACTTGGCAAAGCAACGATTCAAGGTGTGCCGTAGTGCTTTGGCAACATTACACGTATGTAATTAGCAATCGCGACTTGTGATTCGCGTCAAGTGATAAAAAAAAAAAAAAAAAAACGGACGGCTGTCACGCATGCTGACAGCTGCATGGAAATCAGACGAGAGTGCCATAAATGGTCTTTGTAATTTTTCTAATTAATTTATGAAGATCGGATCGATCCGAGTATCGTTAAAAGTAGCGCATTTAAGAGGTAACAATTTAATAAAACTTAGTAAAAGAAAAAACGTATCGGATCGATCCGGAAGAGTTGTAGAAAATCATGAGACTTTCAATTGAAATCGAATAAGGGAAATAAAGGCTGAAGTTAATATACCAGGTGCAGAGAATTTCAAAAAAGATTCAAAGCCAAATCCCTCCTTCGATTTGAAAAAGCCAACTAGTGACGTCAACGTCAAAGACTTAACTGGCAAGAATCTCATTACGGTCGACACTGATTAACCCTTACTAATTAAAATTTCGTTGTGCGACTTGCAGCTCCACGGTGGCGCATCCCATGGACCTGCCACCCTCGCCCCAGCAATGGGAATAAAGCACAGCTCGCTCCCAGAGACCTGGAAGCGATTCCACGCAGGCAATCCTAAGAGAGGAGAGCGAGTGGAAGGCGAAGAACAGGGCAGGCCGAAAAGGGAAGCGAACCCGCAAGATAATCCCAAGGAAGTACGAGCGAAGATAAGAAGTAAAAGAAGTGGAGGATCGTTTGGATGTCCTGGGATCATCGTATTTTGAAGCCCGTGAAGAGCCACGAGAGACAATAGACTGCCGAGCATGTAGCCTCAATTTTTCGACTAGCTGAATATAAATAGTACTAGGGAACGAGAACGCGGTAGACGCGGATGAAGAAGAAGAAGAAGAAGAAGACGGAAGACGAAGAGGCGGAAGACGAAAGACAAAGGAACTTTGCCGTAGTGCAAATGTAAGGCGTTGCGGATAAGAGAGCGGCAAGAGTTGTGTGGATGAAGTGCGCTATGCCAAAATGAGAGAATGGGGGGAAGAGGGGGTTGGGCGGATATAGAAGATGAGGATAAAGGGAGATAAAAAGAATAGGGTTGAAAACAGAGTACACTGTACAGAAGGCGGCGAATGGCGCAGTGAAAGATGCGACCCAGAAGAAAGAACTATATATATATATATATATATATATATATATATATATATATATATATATACACGTAAATATATATATATATGGAGGAATAGTAAACGGGCCAGTTCTTAGATTTTCATTTACACAAAGACAGCTGGCATTTATTGACTATATATACAAACATTATACATATATAAATGCGTCTCTGTATATGTATATATATATAATTATATTATTATTATTATATACATACACACGCATGCAGTACGAATAGGTATTAAAATATTAGTTTTTAACGTGTAAATGCCGAATGCGTTGAATGGCGTCTCGCGTGCAGCGACGTCCCCGTTGCGTTTCCTTCTCTTATCTTTTTTCTTCTTTTTTCTCCCTCGTTCCGTGCGTTCAGCGAGAGCGCGAACGACGCTATTCCCAGGATAATACAATAAGATAGAGAAAGATAGCGGACGTACAGGACGCGACCCCAAGTTCACAAGTACTTACAAGATGGTAGAACGCTGGGTAGAGTGAAAGTGTGAAAAATTTGGAAAAAATTGCGGCTCTCCGCGAACGAGGAGTCTCGCGTCACGGGAAATTTCCTAATAAAAATGTATTATCTTTTAAATGCGATCGATCACTGTGTTGTCGCGCAGATGCGATCCTCCACGTGGAATTCCCAGTGGCGTCGGAGAGCCGTCTCGGTTAGGCGTGTAGTAGGAAGGTGCAATTCCTAATGTAAAAGGTGACATGCGCGCCCACGCTGTTGAAGAGGGACGAGAAGAAAAATTGGGGAGAAAGTGCGAGAATGACCATTGGTGAAATGGCGAGAGTGAAATAGAGGGAAAGGAAGGTGGCGAGATAAATTAAAGAGGCGTCAGGCGGAGAGTAACGATGAATTTCAATATCACTGCCGAAGAATCTTAGCGTGCGCGATCCGAACGATAATGCGCGCTTGGAGGGTCAGTGGCGCATAGAGAAGTCAAGGGACAGAGAGAGAGAGAGAGAGAGAGAGAGAGAGAGAGAGAGAAATGTGAGAAAGGTTCGGGAGGAAAAAAGAAAAGGAGAATGAGAAAAGGCGCAAAGAGGTGTGTACGTAGGGGGCGATTAATAGTCGCATAGAAATAATCCACGTTGTAAATATAAGTAAGACAACTGCACGAGCGTTTATTTTTTAACGTGTAGCGGGATAGCATTTTTTTGCCTGGCGATAATTTTCGCGCGGCTGCCCTGCGACGTCCCGCACGAGACGTGCCGGAGTTACTTTATTCCCGCGCCGTCGACCTAGAACGATTTTAAGGTGTGTACACACGGTTTCACGTAGCTTTCACGTACTGTTAGTATTTTCATTGATAATGGCGCGAAATCGGCACTGGCTTTATATGAATACGTTCTGAGTGTGATTTTAGAATAAGAGGTAAAAAAAAACAGTAACCGCTAGACATCCGTTCAGGGAATAATTTACGACACCCTGAGCAAAGTGTATCTTATAAGCTTTAAGAACTAGGGAGGACGGTGATCGCCGTTATCTTTGTTTCTCCTTCTGTGCTTTTCTTTTTCTCTTTCCTTTATTATTATCGCGCCGACAAGAAAGCGCGATTCTCGTTGTCTCTTCTTTTTTTTTCTTCTCGTCTCAGTACCTTCCTTTTTTTTTATTGAGTTTCTCACTTCTGCGAAAGTGCGCAAGGTACTCTGGTGGACGATTTAAGTAGCTTTTAATAACCGTGACGCGCATGCGCGGCGCGATTCACTATACGTAGGGAAGTAATACGTCGAGCGCGGACTTAGGCAATTATTCTGCGTTATTTACTCGCGATGCTTTCGTAGGGTCCACATTTGGTCTCGTTCTCAATGAAAGTTACGAGAGAAATACCGGAAGCGGATTTTACGTTGCTCGTAGCAGCCGTGGAAGAAATATTATTTTTAGTTTTCTACGCGATCCGAGTTTTACGAACAAACAATGCAAGAGCTACGTGTATCCTGTAATATTGTAAATTACTCTAGGTACTCCAGTTTAGTTTTACTTCTTTGAACTATCTTTGTTCTTACTTTTTTTTTTTCTTTTTTTTCTTTTAATTACTTTTGCATTTTCCTTTATCGTCTCTGGTTTTTTTATCTGTATTTCTTTTTCAAATCTTGTCCGTTGTTATTCTGATCACTTCACTGTCTCGTCTAACGCGGCGGACATGATATTCGCTCATTTGTACATATGTCATTTCATATCTGTATATAGTTCACGTACAACACTACATTACTTGCGTTACGTGCGTTGCGTATCATACCATTTACGTCATTTAGATCGTCGATTCGTCCTGATATTTCTGCAATCGATTGTAGGCCAATTTTTTTAATTAAGAAAATAATAACGCCTGTAATTTTAAGACACGAAAATTAGCGTTCCACTAGTGCGAGAGAAACGAAATTTTGGCATTTTTTTTTTAATCGTTACCGAAAGTTTTGCTTTTTTTTAATTTATCGGTCATTATTATTTTTTTTTTCTTTTTTATCCATATCCGACGTAGCATCTACTATTCATTAGTTACGCGTCAATCACTTTTTTTAAGCAAACGACTTCGTGTCGCAATTTTATATGGATCCTCCAACCGAAAGTTACATCGGATTCAAGAATACGTGCGAAATTTATCTTTTAACGTATTTGACAGGGAAATCATTGAAATTTGGAAAAATATTGCTGTATAACAAAATTCGTCTCCTACTGGCAGGTAATCGATGCCGACATGTAAAAAGCTCTAAAAGTCGCGGAGAGCTTTCGGATATTTTTCACTAAAATCAATTTTAGAAATTAAGTTTGTGCAGAGGCGTCGTGAAACTTCAATTCGAATATTTTGAAAAATGAAAAAAAAAAAGCGAAAATACAGCAGGACGTTAAACGCAAAGTCGGCTCACAAAGATTTTGTATTTCCATTTGTGTCTCTTAAATCATACAAAATCTGCGTATCAACCATTGTAAATAATAAAGCGTTACGAAAGGCTACAGAGGAGTATCAGTATAACTTAACAAAAAAAAAAAAAAAAAACACAAGATCAGATGGAAAAGGAGGTTCGAATGGAGTAAATACAAATAATAAAAAAAAATGCAAAATGTAAAAAAAAGTTCTCTCGCGACTAATGGATACTTCTGTAATCGTAACTGTTTGCTGTATTACGATTAGCAATTACGAGGCAGACTTTTACTCTATTTATGTCTGTTTGTTTTTTATATACATGCATATATGTATATATACTACACATCATTTCGTCCTCTATACATGATGAAAAATGCTCTCCGAATGAATCTTCGAAGTTTAATGTTAATTTTTTTTAAAAAGCACGATTGCGATTGGCCAGAATAAATTATTGTCACGAAGAATGAAAAGCGTGTGAAAATATTAAGAGATTAAGAGAAAATATCTTTATACGCTGTAGCATCAGAGGAGGTATATAAATAGGTAGTTGGGAATGAATTAGAGTTAACGAAGCAGCGATAAAATTTATGGGTATAAGGAAAACATGAAAAGAAAGAAATCAATCGCCACATAATGACGGATCGATGACGAATAAGAGTTATTTGGTAAAGTTAAAAAAAAAAGTTGTCAAACAGCACGAGGAAACGGAGATAAATTTTTTGAGAAAATTGCAAACGTAATTCACTTGAGAGAATGACTTGTAAATAGTTTTTCTTTTTTATTTTTCTTTTTTCATTCTCTCTCCGTTCGCTCACGGTCCAAGGAGCCATTGACGTCCTGCCAATAGCCAATAAATGCTGCCGTTTTTACAATCACCCCATGACGCGTTTCGATGAAGAATAGAGAGAGCCCAACTAATCATTTTTTTTTTTCCCTTACATTTACCGCAGTCGATTAAAAAATCTTTCTCCGATTTCTATATCCTTTCCTCGTAAGGCTTACGGCAACTGCGCGCGACCCTCGAATATGTATTTTAATTCTTGCGTTCTTTTGCTTTCATTCTCATGCAAAAGACGGAGGACACCGTATACTTTCAAGTCCTCTGACTCGAGAGAAATCTTCGATTTTTTTAAGTTCTTTTACGACCGATCTCATCGTCCGCGATTTCTCGTCATCGTGACGATCGTTCCCGGCGACGGCGACTGCGACGACAATCGTCGACGACGGGAAACCCGTGTACTAATTCTTTCCAGAAAGTGAACGGTGACGGGAAGGACACCCACGCGGCTCCCGTTAAACGTCAGACTGTCGCCACGTGGGTTTTGAACTTGTCAAATTTTTGTTTTTAACCTTCGTCCTTAACCTATCGAGAATAGATGGGAAAGAAGAACGAAATTCGCGAAATCGATCGTCCACGTGGCGACGACGTAAGAAGGGAGGCGACAAGGTGCGCGCGACTTTTAGGGCGACACGACGAGTGTAGTAGAGTAGATGAGTCTTTCTTTATATATATATATATATATATATATGATCTGTTTATTTCCAATGGTTACTCTTAACTGTTGCAAATAAACAAATAGTTGACACGCAAGAGAAATGAAGAAAAACAAAAAAAGTTTAATGTTTCCTATTAAGGTAATCGCCAAGTATAGAGAGAGAGAGAGAAAAAACGATAACGAGAATACGAAAGAGAAAGGCAAAAAATAACGAAAACTTAATGAGATGCAAAAAGCATACTTTGTAAATACGTAGCTCACTGTAGCTGGTCAGTTGGGCATTTAATTACACGTGACAGAGACAGTACACGCATTTATAGATACACACTTTCCCCTCGCTGTAAAAAATTAGGTCACGCACGTCATGCATCTCACGCGTGTGTAACTGATAAGGGGTACGAATACAAAAATAAATAATAAAAAATGGCGACGCTTTTCGCGAATTTAATTTTCACGTTGAGTCGTCGATATTAGACTTATACATATTATACATACGTACGGAGTTGTTATACCTGGCATATGCACACGCATGAGAGATAGACAACACACATGCGATACACGATTAAATTATATAATAACGAGGCTAGGTGATAATGCGTAAATCGTTAAGGTACCTACGTTATATATATATATATATATTAAATAATTAAAAAAAAAAAGATATACCCTACAATAGCGAATATGCCTTCATTATGGAAAGTGGCTGGCACAAGATGCACCAAACAATAAAGTTGCTACAGAAATACAAGAGAATCTCTTGAGAACGTCATTGCGATCGATCGCGACAGATCGATCGGCATAAAATTTCGCAGATTTCCTTTATATCCAATTTTTTTTTAATTTCCCAAAAAAAAAGAGTAACCCGTCCAACAAAATTTTCCATTCGATCCGTCTATTCCAATTTTTTGTTTTCAGGTAATTTTACGTTGAGCTAAATTTTTATGATTTATGTGTATTTTTTTTTTTTACTTTTATTCCCGTTATTAACCGTTTCGTGCACAAGAGTCTAACGCATGTGGGAAGATGAAAAATAAAAATAAAAAATGATAGGACACGTACGGTTCACGCAGACAGATACGGGATACAGAGAATCGATTCTAAATGCAGCAACTTTGTTGTTGCTACTGTTTTCCTGTATTCTTGTATATATATATATATATATATATTATAAGTGCGACACTCAAGCGTTAACTGTAGGGAAACACCGTATGGTTTATTACTGTCATTATTACTGTGTAATGAATACGATTTTAATGAACTTTATCGAGTCGATACGTCGCGTAGTTCGAGGGGGCACGCAAGTAACAGGTGAAATGTTTGTCGCTTTGGTATATCAGGTAGGAGATTTAGCGGTCAGAAAAAAAAAAAAAAAGTAAAAAGTGTGATGACCTGTCGTTAGCAACTAAGAGGCCTTAATATATCACGTTTACGATAATACACATTAACGATATTACGAGCCGAAGGGGCGATTATATTATATGAAAACTTAATCGGAAATAAATCGCTATGACGATTGGCACTCCGATTCATAATAATAATAGCCGTAAGGATTAATTAGCGATACACAAAAAATACCTGTACACTAATTGACTTAACGCGTAACGAGTCGCATTGCGTATCGAGAAAGGAACCTCGCATTTTCCAAGGGGTGATACCAGGGGGGGGGGGGCGCTGGAAAACAAAATTGTACGATGAATCGTGACGGACGTGACGTAAAATTTTGAAGGAGGTAAAAAAAGAGAGAAAATATTATAATCATTAAAACCACAGTTCTTTCCTTGAAACACGGTTTCGATCAGCACTGCCACAATTATTGTCGCTGTCTCGCGAATGGATTTTACATAGAAGTGACAGAAGAAGCTGAAGGCTATGATAAACCGTGAATAACTCGAAAACAATAGATTTTTCTTGTTATCCGCTGTTTTTAGAGGGAGAAAAGTTATGGAAACAGTGATGGCACTTTTTTTTCATTTTTTTTCATTTTTTTTTTTTTTTTCGAAAATTTCTGAATATTCCTTCTGATCGTCATTTTTAACGACGAGGATGTAGTCGGAGATACCGTGGGGCGGGAGAATGGGATTTCCATTCGATGGGGTAGAAGGCGTTAGGCTAACCTAACCTAACCTGACCTACATTAGATCACATACGACCACTGGAACAATGCACTCGATCTGTATATACGATATTTCTATAGTTAAGAGTTAATTCGAATTCGCGTACCTTGAAAGTAGCAAAAGCCTTTTTCGGGTAGTCAGACAAAAGTAGTAATTATGGATATTAGTCGTTAGGAGTTACGTTCTTGAATAGTGAGAGGGGTTTTTTTTTTTTTTTAATGCGATTAAAGAGATAAGGATTTACGAAGATGTGGAAAACGGTGACGTATAAAGGTTGATGAAACTTAGGCACAAACTTCAACGTTGTATATATACATAGGTATGGTATTTTAAATATCGAATAGAATAAGGGTGATTAAACGTATGCGTTATCGGTATGAATATTGAAAAATGACAAACGGCACGAGTGCGAGTGTGGGAATGAGTGATTACGTTATTAATAATTAACGTCCGACGAAAAAAAAAGAAAAAAAAAAAAAAAAAAAA